GCGTCGCCTCCGGCCAAGACTCTTCTCTCCTGCCCACTCTGGACTAAGTGCAAATAATTTGGAATTGTGGATGTTTCCATGCACGGGTCTCATGAAGCATACGCTTGGCTTGCTTGCTTTTTTTTTTTTTTTTTCCTGAGAAATGGACTGCGTGGCTCTGTACCTCAAGGCTGAGAATGCAATGGCGGCAATCTCCAGCTCACGGCAACATCAAATCATCCCAGGTTCAAGCCATTTCTCCTGCCTCAGCCTCCCAAGTAGCTGGGATTACAGGCGTGTGCCACTGCGCCGGCTAATTTTTGTATTTTTAGTAGAGACAGTGTTGGCCATGTTGGCCAACTGGTCTCGAACTCCTGACCTCAGGTAACGAAAAAGTGAACTTAAAAATAACTGGGGCCGGGGCGGTGGCTCAAGCCTGTAATCCAGCACTTGGGAGGCCCGAGAACGGGCGGAATCACGAGGTCAGGGATCGAGACCCATCCTGCTAACATTAGTGAAACCCGTCTCCTACTAAAATACAAAAACTTAGCCAGGCGAGGTGGCAGGCGCCTGTAGTCCCAGCTACTCGGAGGCTGAGCAGGAGAATGGCGTGAACCCCGGGAGGCGGAGCTTGGCAGTGACTGAGATCCGGCCACTGCACTCCCCAGGCCCTGGGATGAACCAGAGCGAACTTTTGGAGGCCGGGCGCAGTGGCTCACGCCTGTAATCCCAGCACTTTGGGAGGCTGAGGCAGGCGGATCACGAGGTCAGGAGATTGAGACTATCCTAGCTAACACAGTGAAACCCTGTCTCTACAAAAAACAAAAAAATCAAAAAAAAACAAAAAAATTAGCCGGGCATGGTGGCAGGTGCCTGTAGTCCCAGCTACTCCGGAGGCTGAGGCAGGAGAATAGCGTGAGCCCAGGAGGCAGAGCTTGTAGTGAGCCAAGATTGCACCACAGCACTCCAGCCTGGGCAACAGAGCTAGACTCCGTCTCAAAATAAAAAATAAAAATAAATAAAAATAAATAAATTGGAGGCTGGGCATGGTGGCTCACTCCTGTAATCCCAGCACTTTGGGAGGCCCAATCACTCCTGATCCACCTGCCTCAGCCCCTGAAAGTGCTGGGATTACAGGTGTGAGCCCCAGTGCCCGACCTCTGAATACTACTTTCTGACCAGTTTTCCTCAATCCCTGCTTGTATCAGCATGCCATTCACCTCTTCAGGAAACTACTGTAGCCCTTTACTGCATGTGGCATCACATGGATTCCAAATGTGGAATTCTGTCTGCCATAATTTCACCCTTCCCAACCTGGTTTCAAGCTACTCAGCTACACCAGGTTGATTCCCTCCTCTGTACTTTGGGTCATGCTAGTCCACTCCTCCCCTATAGAATCGGC